ACGTGTTTAAGAATAGGTTTATGCTAAAATAATTGAAAAAAGTAAAGCGATTCGCGCTAAACATCTAAAACAAGTCCATATAAAGTACTAAATTTGAACAAAAATTCACATAGAATTTGATATAAATCTATACATAGTTTTTGATTTACATAGTTGAACGTACCCCCCATTACGACATCCGTTTGTAGTGTTTATTTATACCATTTAGCCCGTCCTTCAATACTAGTCTTATTTATAAAAAATTTTACATATATAAAAAAAAATCTCCGGGCGGCCGGGTCCAAAAATTTTTCAAATGTTATGTAAACCAGGTTATTTTATTTGTATCGCCATATTCAAGGTAATTTCCATACAGCATTTTATATAATTTATATTACTATATACAATTCACTAACCCTAATTCAGTACCAAATTCTACATTATCTCAACAGGTAGGTTAGTCCAAAACATCACGGTCTCGTGATCGCTGGCTGTTCCGATCATTTCGACATAGACTATAAATCAAGGAATTTACCGTTACATCGTATCTTATACTTTATCATTTTTCAGCAGGGCTGAAAACGGTCGGCGATCACAATACTGCGACATCTTTCTGTCATGATTAATCTATCTGACCCACTGTCTAAGAACTTTCTATCTTTCTGCCCTGATTAGTCAATAGATCACACTGCGACATATTTCTGTCAGGACAAATCTACTTGCCCATACTGTCCCTAGAGACAGTCCGTAAATCACAATACCGTGATATCTCTCTGTCCCTAGGAACAGTCCGTAGATCACAATACCGTGATATCTTTCTGTCCCTAGGAAAAGTCCGTAGATCACAATACCGTGATATCTTTCTGTTCCTAGGAACAGTCCGTAGATCACAATACCGCGATATCTTTCTGTCCCTAGGAACAGTCAGTAGATCACAATACCGCGATATCTTATCTGTCCCTAGGAACAGTCAGTAGATCACAATACCGCGATATCTTATCTGTCCCTAGGAACAGTTCGTAGATCACAATACCGCGACATCTTTCTGTCGTGATTAATCTAACAGTCCGTAGATCACAATACGGCGACATCTTTCTGTAATGATTAATCTAACAGTCCGTAGATCACAATGCCGCGACATCTTTTTGCCATGATTAATCTAACAGTCCGTAGATCACAATGCCGCGACATCTTTTTGCCATGATTAATCTAACAGTTCGTAGATCACCCCTAATCCGTAGTCCAGAAAAATACTTTGAAACGAACATAAAATATTAAAATAATATGTTTAAACCACTTATCAGATCCGATTGTAATATCTAATGTGTATCGTACTATAACGGTGATACGTATAAAAGTGATGATCGGGCAGAGGCCGGGAATCACACCTCTACCACTATTCCATGTATGAGGAACACCCCTAATTGAAAGCAAGTGTCGTACGATGGTTTTTCTATGGTTCCGCATTGTTCGGGTTGGGATGGAAATTTCAAAGTCAGTAAAAATATGTATTAGATATTTAGATTAGGGATGTTATCCTGCTTAAAATGTACAAATCTGCTTAATGAGATTTGCACAGTATTACGTACTATGATTACTTTTTGATATTAAACTTATTCATAATGCTTTTAAGAACATACATCATTAACGCTAATAGCAGTTATTAATTTAACTCAATATAACGATAAAGTATATAGAGATTATCATTTTAATACTTAAACTCGATTATGAAACTGGTTTGTTTAAACCAGCTTGAAAGCAATTCGTTTCGAATAAGATTTTTGCTACTAACCAAACTTGTCATAGTGTCTTTTCGAATAAATAGAATTATTAGAAAAAATTAATCCAATCTATTTTTAACAAGTTATATATTTATTACTTTATGTTACATGAAGCAGGATAATATATCCAAATTCATATTCGATTGGGTTAGATCCAAGCCCAGCCCATGACCACCAGTGCAACCCATGGTTGGCGCCAGCATATTTTATTTATAAACATCAATGAATGGCCAATCAGCTTAAATATGGACTATCCGTGAGATTTTTGATCCAAACCCGAATATTTTGAGCTTTGAACCATTTTCACATGGAACTGAATTTTTGAGTTCAACACAAAAAATCCCAAAAAACCAAATTAGTATCCAAGCTCGGCCCCTGCAGGACCATGAGGAATCCTAATTCCAATAATAACCCTCTACACCCTTTCCTCCTTAACATCTAGTTTTATAAATATAGATCAAAGTTTGGTAGATAGCTACTGCCATATAATAGAAATTTTAAGCCGCAACTAATCAAGATTCATATACGTAAGAAGTAAAACTTTGTTTTTATTTTACGTAAAAAGGTATAAAACTCATTTTGTAAACATATTGAACGGCATCTAAGTTTAACTACCAATGTATTTCCCAGTATATACTTTACAAATAATATTCAAGGAGTAGAACATTTTATTCAAAATTCTGAGGTGCATAAACCTGCTCTCTACATAAAAAGACATATATATATAGAGAGAGAAGGAGTAGATATATGCAAGATATGAACTGAATCTCTGCATGACAACACAACAAAAATCATTGAATCATTAATGATAAGGTTAAGACAAAACCATTGAATCATTAATGATAAGGTTAAGACAATATGCGTACATACGAACACACTCGAAGAGCATAGCAATTGTGTGACAGCGAATCTTGCCCGATAATGTATCAAGAATGAAGATTATCGACTGCTGTCACTATTGCTATCAAATTTAATCGGTATTATTAGCCATAAATAGATACATATATGTCCAAAAGTATTATTACCAGTACAGTTTAGTGACCGATTGTTGATTAATCACGATAGATTAGAAAGCAAGGAAGGATAATAGAGAGAGATCATGTATTGATTAATATATATCAAGAAATTTAAAAATAAATTCTAAAGACAAAATTAGGTTTATTTTGTTTAATCAACTAATATATAGCTAAATTAAAATCCAATCCCGACTATAAATAATGATATAATGTGGCAGCAAAAGAAATTTTATAGTTTTATAATTTTATATATATACGGTACAGACATATGAAATATGTAATGGTATGTAACATTAATGGTTGATCATTACAGCAATATCGTTATTCATTTATCATTAGTGTTAGCAGCAGTAGAGTATGAGTAGTAAATGGGTAATAACATATTATGAGCCATTCGGCTCAGGTTAATAGGTTTTTTTACGAAAGTAACAAAGGAGAAACAAGAAACCGAGACTAGACAGGATGAAACGAAGGTTATAAGAAGTAAATTGGGATTGCCATGAATAACAAAGATCCGATTGGTGAAAGAATAATTTGAGTTGACAATCTGTTAACTTAATATGAAAACAAGCAATTCATTTACTTTGTTTGGAAAATTAATAAAATTTATTTGGAGTGACGATGACACAAAATGATGTTTAAAGTTAGAATAATTCAATGCGGATTTATTATTATTTATTTTTATATGATTTATAAATTTCTATTGAAGTAATTAAATTAAGTTCCTCCGAAAATGAATCGAATGAAAATCATCATGAGAAAAAAAGTTTACTAATTATACAAAAATACAAAATTGGCTTTTTCAGAAATATAAACAGATTGTTACGTATAATAAATAAATAAAATATAAACTTACGTATGTATTTTCGAAACAACATTTAATTTAGGAGTAACATTCAACTTCCTTACACATAGATGCATAGAAAAATCGATGGGATGGGTTAGTTAACTTAGGTTATAATATATATAAAGGATTAACATAACGCTAATTATCAACTAATTATCAATTAATTAATTTCTTAATAAAATCATGTATTAAATTATTGAATGGTTATGTATAAGGTCGCATTTAAAGTAGCATAATGCCCACGTGATATATATTATCATGGTCTAGCATTAGAATTATGGTTAGAAAAAATAGTAATGATACTTCGAATTAGAAGAGTCAGTTTATTTTATATGAATTACCATAAAATGCGAAAAATAAGTACAGCACCCTCTACCCTAATTATTTCAATCTCAGATTAGTGGTCCGTCAATCTGAGATTGAAAAAAGTAGAATGCTGTGCTTATTTTCCACATCTTACAGTAAAAAAATTCTAATAACGATAATGAATACAAACAATGAACGTGGATTCTTGCGAGGCTTTCACACAAGTATATAGTGCTTAATATATATTGAGTAACATATGGTGTGACAGATCGCATAAGGATATTTATGTTGTATTTACGTTCGGTTGCATGTTTTGTTATCTGTTATAAAGTTTAAGATGAACGAAATGACGAAGCACGTTTGTACACAACATAGTCATTTCGTGTAGTCTTACCTTACCAGGCAACACTCTAATTTCGAAAATTTATTAGTAAACAAAATATTTAATGTACTAAAAATAGATTTTATATTCTTCGAATAATCTAAACTCCTGCGATCTTCTTTACATACGTACGACGAAATGTAAATACGAAATGTGTACGTACGTACGTAGTTTTTTCTTGCAAAAATTATATTAGTTTTGTTAGTTTTGTTTCTCATATTAGCGTTAGTTCGTACTTTAAGATTATATTTATGTAGGTTACACGAATTTAAATTCATAATGTTACACAGCGATTATGAGAGTAAAGTTTCGGAATATCTAAAAGTTATTTGCTACGTATACTTAATAAGACTTAACAAAAATTAAAATAATAAAAAAAGAAAGAAAGTACCTGTGAATTAATTTGCATATAATCTTTTTAAATATTTTCAACCGTATTTTAACAGTATTTTAATAGAATTTTAATAGTATATTAATAGTATTTTGCTCACTTATTCCCGATTTATTCTATCATTCTTTAAGGGTGTTACAATCATTAAAAATTAGCAAACAAAGGCGGCTAATACAAAAAAAAAATAATAACCTTATTGCCTATTTGCTATAATTTCATTATTTTTTATATCCTTACATTAGCGTTAGTTGTTACGTATTTCGATTTACTTTATACATTGAAATTGTTCGTTAAACTATATTTTCCTATTTTTGCTATGATATTAAGAAAACTTGAACATCTATCACAAATCAGATTTTCCCGTCACACATATTGTATATATGCAATGCATATCGATAGGCACGTACTAGCTCCGCATTTGTTATTTTTTTTTGTTATTACAGCATTATGTATGGACTTTTAAATAGATTAGTTTCAACCTGTTTTTTTCAGCAGTCTTTTTTTTTTTTTTTTTTTGGCGCTCTATATAAATCCTTTCCTTTCTGCCGAATTTCTGCCGAATTTTGTAGATGTTATTTTCGTCTGCCAAGTCTTATTCTGTCGTTACCCGTTATCCATTTGTCTGTTTTGGATATATCTTCACTGTTTTACAATATAACATAATATACAATATATATAATTATTTATATATTTATATATTCTCATATATATTATAAATATATATATATATACATAATAAATCGATCATACCACCCTCAAAGAATTCCATTTTATTTCAATCAAAATCAAAATGAGTGTATCCGTAAATAGTGACCCTGCTGTTTTTTCAAGACTTCAGTTAGCGAGAGCACTGAAAGAGGATCCAGAAAGTAGTGTAATATTTGTCCACAGTCGTCCAAATCCTCGCAGATACGATGATGACGACCAAGTTTATATACCAAGACCAACTCATTTACTTATTCCTCCAATTTTGAGTACGATAGAACAAAATGATAATGATACTAATATTTCTCGGCCTCCGAGAAAAAGAGCATCGTCTTATTCTTCACCTTCAACAAATGATAATCCAAGAGATAGTATAGTTATGTCCGAAGAAAGACGTAGTAGTTTAGGAAAACAGGCTACATTAATGGATGTTAGAGAATCTATATTAACTAGTAGGCAAGTTAATACTGTATCATCTTTTTCACCATCTTCTAGTCAAAGAACTTCTTTAATACTTCAACAACCCAGACCTCTTTCTGGTAAGTATTCTCATGTTTACTCATATTTCTTTTAATTTTCTTTTTCTTCAATTTCTCTTAATTTCCCTTAATTTCACTTCACTTAATTTCAATTAATTTCACTTCACTTAATTTCAATTAATTTCACTTCACTTAATTTCACTTCACTTAATTTCAATTAATTTCACTTCACTTAATTTCAATTAATTTCATTTAACTTCATTTAATTTCACTTCTTCACTTAATTTCACTTCTTCACTTAATTTCATTTAACTTCATTTAATTTCACTTCACTTAATTTCATTTGATTTCCCTTAATTTCACTTCATTTAATTTCATTTAACTTCATTTAATTTCTCTTAACTTTTCTTATTTCACTTAACTTTTCTTAACTTCTCTTAATTTTTAATTCCCTTAACTTCTCTCAATTCCCTTAACTTCTCTCAATTCCCTTAATTTTCTCTTCATTTAATTGCCCTTAATTTCTCTTAATTTCTTTTAATTTCTTTTAATTTCCCTTAATTTCTCTTAATTGTTTTTTTTAATTTCTCTTAATTTAATTGATAATCAACTTTAGAAGGACAAACCGCAAAAACTCCAAATGTTCATTCAAGATCAAATAGTTTTTCAAATTCTCGTCCATCATCTGTTCCGTCATCTATGAACAACAGTGCTCCTTTACGATCTAATCTCGCAAACAACAATTCATCTAGACCACTATCATCTTATACAAATACACAATCTAGACCAAATTCTGTAGTTACCAATCAATCTCGACCGTCTTCTTCATACAATAATTCTCCTTCTAGGCCATCTTCTTCATACAATAATTCTCCTTCTAGGCCATCTTCATTAGTTAATCAATTTAATTTTAATGAATCTGATGAATCTGATCCTGAATCATCTCCAAAATTAATTTCAAAAATCAATCAATTGGCTATATCAAAAACGAGTCAAACAAAGAAATTAGACAAATCTGAAAAATCTAATAAACTTAAAAAGGTTAAAGAAGAAGAAGACTCTGATAGTGAAGAATCCTGTGATGACGATGACAGTGATGATGTTGATAAGGATGAGAAGGAAACGGATGAAAGTTCTGATGATACGCCTCTTGCTCTCAAAGTCAAACCAATAATTAAAGTTGCTTCTCCTAATGGCTCCATAAAGAAAAATAGTGGTCGGATCGAAGAATGGCTTAATAATGGTAAATCTTATTGTATAAATTATATTTATATTTGCACACACACATATATATATTTATATTTGCATATATATACATATATATAATGTTGTACATGTAGTATCGGGTGATGAATTCTCAAGCCCTGATCCAACCAATTATGTGCGTAGTCGTAGACTGTCCGATTATACTCCAAATCAAACATTTAGTGCAAGTCCACTTGGTAGAGGTTCGGTTGAACATCGTTATCACCGTTCTTCTACCTTTGATTCCCGTATGTTTTTTAAATATATATTCACTAAAAGAAGGTACAAGAGGGATAGCTGTGGTTGTCTAATTATCGTATTTAATGCATAACAATGAAAATCATCGATTAATTTTCTAGAATGCTTTAAAAATCATAATTATATAATTACGGTTACCCTCCTGTACTCACTCACTATACATATTGTATTATATAAATAACATTTAGCTGATAGAATTTTATTTTATTTTTTCTAAAAATTAGATGCTCAAAAATCTCTAGCCAATCCGAATTCTCGACGGAAGAGCCATTCAGAATTATCTCCACATCGTAAAACTGATCTACTTAGCTCCCCACAATTAATAACAGGTCGTATATCGCCTAATCAACGTCAAGATTCTGGATACTGGGCTCGTGAAACTTTAGCAGCATTATCGGCTGATTCACGTCATCAAATGTTAATGAATGATTCGTCAAGTGGGACAAGCACTTCAAGTTCCGCAAATATAATGCATCGTGAAAGAAAAAATAGTGCTTCTAGTTTGAACAAAACTCATCATCATAGAAGCAGAAGTGGTAGCTCATACGGAAGTCCACATTCACCGCATTTCCCACATTCTCATTCCTCACATTCTCATTTCCCACATTCTCATTCCCCACATTCTCATTCCTCACATTCTCATTCCCCACATTCTCATTCCCCACATTCCCATCCCTCACATTCTCATAAAGCAAGCTCTGGGTACTTCCCACCACAGTCTTCACAACCACATTCTAAAAGTAAACATCGTGATTCACTACATCCTCAAACACCAATGAATGCTAGTTATGGGAATGGCTATGGACATTATACGAATTACGCGAGTGAATCGCATAGAAAGGCTTCAAACGATTATAATAACCCTGGAATTAGAACTAATTCTGGTGCTTATATTCAGAAGCATAGAGTTCGTTAAATTACAAGTGTTGAACACTCATTTTTTTTTTTATTTTTTGCAAGTTTCAAAATAAATTACAATTATTGCCTACAATTATTATACTTTTATTTCATGTCAAAAAAATTTTTTTTTCGTCACTCATTATCACAAAATTATCATTAATTCATTCAAAAGTAAACGAATTTATTAAAACACACCAGTGGTGTTTAGTGATGCAAAACGGCTCGATCGGCTTGTATATTCAGTATAATAAAAACCGATTAATTAATAGAGCCGACGAGCCGATTTGCATCTCTAGTGGTGTTCAACACAATTTCTATATCTCAACAAGTTGATGTTTGGTACTCTAAGTAGACATGTTTCCTTTTCTAACTCTAACCTAAATCCTAATCCCAAATTTTACAAATTTTACTATATATCTATATATATAGTATATAGTAAAATTATTATAAAAAAATATATCCTAAATTTTACTATATATCTATATAGTATATAGTAAAATTATTATTAAAAAAATATATATATACATGTATATGTGTTGTTGAGTGCTTTAATACTATTCAAAGTAAATATTGGACATTGGTTTTTTTTCTTTTCTTTATTTATCTTATACAAGATTACAGTATTTCTTGTAATAATTTTGATGTCAAAAAATTCTCCTTTTCTCCTTCAATAAATGCATACGTAGCGATATACATAGCGATAGTGTTGATACAATAAATTAATACAAAGCGATATACAAAGCGATAGTATTTATATGGTAGTTTTTTTTATTCAAACCTAGAATGTCAAATTTCTCCTTCAACAAAAATGCACAGTGATGTATATAACGATATACACGGCGATAGTATTGATATGGTAGTTTTTTTCATTTAAACAGAATTATTACCATAAATAGTGCGTTCTTGTTTCTGTTATCGGCGCTACAGAATAACCAATTGGTTTACTAATTACTGAATTAGAAGCAAGAAAAAAGTGACACACCCGAGTATCTCCACAAACCCACTGTGACTGTACATACCAGATACGTACGTACACTAAAAAAAAAATAAAATAAAATAAAACATTAATAAATTTAATGAATTCTAAATTAAATACCATTTTCGTTATAATAACAAATAATGAATTGGTGATTATTATTTTTAGATAATTTTAAATGTACATTTAAGTATAACAAAAGAGTGGTACGTAGCGGTAGTTAATGCTATTCGCACGTACGTACGCACCAGTACCCTATGCACACACAGTATCAGATGCTTTGACATTTCAAAAGTTAGAACAATAATGATTGATCAATATAGATATCAATATATAGATATTACGTAATAATATTTATGATCGATCAAGATCATACCACATTTCCCCCTCATGATATTGATAACTTTAATCGGAATGCAAAAAAATTTTTCTCGTTTGACGTTTCCAAACCGTTTCATATCGACAAAATGTTTCAGTTACAATTCCTTGATCTACAAAATAAATTTCACTTCCCTTGTGTATAGACCTACAACTCTTCGAATGTCTTTAAAGTCTCTTACTTTGGAGAAAATTCAATATTCAACAAAGATAACAAAGACTTTTAATAATGTTTCAAAGTATTACTTTGATCGTTTTAATACTCCAATCATTAAAATAAAAGATAAAATACGCAGCAATTCTATAATTCTGGGTTTATTAGGTTTGACAACTGCAACTACGATCCTGGGTGTAACGTGGTCGCAAAGTTACCGGGATAAATTTAATTTAATCTTTGCTGGAATTTTTCGCTCTACGGTAACTTTGTGTGTTTGGTACGAGGTTCGAATTGGCGTGAGAATTTTTCGTTCTTTGCAATCGCAAATATAATATCTATCTCTTAAAAATTGATTCTTTTATTTTTTCATATTATAGTTGTCTTTGTATGCTAGATTATAAGATTTTACATCTTAGATTTAAAAATGTTGATCATAAATCTGATGAATTCAAAGCATCTCAGAAAGTCGTTCATCTAAGAGTTGCAAAAAGGTTACTGAGACTTTGTAGACTTCATACTGGTATATATGTAAAAGGTTAGACTTTTTGATTTATCTTTTTTTTTTGAAAAATTATGTACACGCATATACATATTGCACACATATATATACAAACATATAATTCTAATTCAAAATTTTATATTTGAAATAAATATTTAGGAGCCCAACATCTTGCTTCTTTAACTTTTATCGTTCCTAGAGAATATACTGAAACTTTATCTGTATTACAGGATCGAGCACCTTATAGAGGCATGGATGATGTAAAGAAAATATTTGCTGAGGAATTCAATGGATTAAGTCCAGGGGATGTATATTCTGAATTTGATGAAATTCCAATAGCTGCTGCTTCTTTGGCTCAGGTGCATAAAGGTGATAAATTATGAAATTTATTTGAATTTCTCATTATGTAATTGGTTATCATTATGTTCTTATATGTGTATTAAATAATAGCTAAAACAAAAGATGGTCGAGAAGTAGCTGTCAAAATTCAATATCCTGATGTGAGTATGTTGCAAATATATATATACACACATATATATATTTTTAACTGAATGCAAAATTTTCATAATATAGGTATCAAGACTTTTTCATGTGGATATTTGGACTATGCAATCAATGTCCAATTTAATTTCTTTCTTTTTTCCGGAATTCGAATTAACTTGGATTATAACTGAGTTTAAGCAAAACTTGATTTCTGAATTCGATTTTTTACGAGAAGCTAGAAATGGTGAATTAACAAAGGAGAGATTCAAACATCGCGCACGTGAATTAAAAATACCTAGTATTATATGGGAATTAACGACTAAACGTGTGTTGACCATGGAATTTGTTCATGGCATTAAAATCAATAATATTGAAAAATTAAAAAATTTAGGTGTAGATCCAAAATGGGTTCGAACTGTATTGTTAGAAGTTTTTGCTGAAATGATCTTTTGCCATGGTGTGATTCATTGTGATCCTCATGCTGGAAATGCCCTTGTAACAATATCTCCAATAACAAATAAACCTCAACTTGTTCTCCTTGATCATGGTCTCTATAGAGAATTATCTGATGAATTTCGTTTGATGTATTGTGATCTGTGGAAAGCTTTAATATTGAATGATTCTAAATCTCTCAAAAAAGTGGCTGTTTCTTTGGGTGTTCCTCAATACATTCAATTCCTTCCGCTGATTTTTACACATCGTATACCAGATTCTACCACTCCTCTTGGAGAGGATATGTCACCTGAAGAACGTGCTATGGTTCAAGATCAACTAAAAAATATAAAATTGAGTGATTTCTTTGATTTTTTGGAATCTTTACCAAGAGATATGTTACTAGTACTTAGAACAATCAATATAGTACGTGGAATTCATCGTCAACTTGGTGGAAAACCAATGGAAAGTTTCAGAATGAATGCTCAATTTGCCATACGAGGATTATGGTGTGAAACAAGAAACGAGGAAAAAAGACGAATAAGTCGTTCAAAAGAATTGGGATTAACTGGTGATTATATTATGATCGGTCCATTACGAAGGTGGTATTTATTTGGTGGAACTCCTAATTTCTTTAGAACTCTGGGATTCATTAGGAATTTCATTGTAATGACATTTAGATTGTATTTAACGGAATTGTTAATTAAAATTTGGAGATGGTGGTTTTTATATAGATCTATGGATGCTTCGGTTATAATGAAAATTTAAATTCACAATTCACTTGCAAATTTAAACAATATATATCATGTTTATTTCTTAATTTGCTTGTTACATAAGATCGAATATTTCTTTTTTAAAAGCATATCGATTTAATATTTTTTGGAATAATAGTTGAAATTATTTGATTTTTTAAATCATGTTTATCAATTGTTTTTAAAAAAGTAAATAAATATATTGGAAAGTTTTTACTTAATATAATTTGTTTTTTAATGTTAAAAATTGTTTATTATTTTGTTTATTTGAATCAAAAAAATTAGAAATTTTATATATGGTGCCAGCGCCTTTAAATCTCCAATCACGTGATTTCGTTCACTTTTGGCAAAAAAATCATGTGATATACTTATATCCAATTAAATTCGAGCATGTTCCATTTTTTTTTTTTTTTTTTAGAGAACGAATTTTTTTTTTTATTTATATAACGTATATAATGAACGGACATAAATGGTTTTTTATTTTCCAATTTTTAACGCATATACTCTGCGGCAACAATTTTTCTTTTACGTATACACTCTGCGGCGGACGAAAAAGCAGTTTTTTTTTTTCGGCGGACAAATATTTTTTTTAAAGCAGTTTTTTTTTTTAAAAAAAAAGACGTTTTGATTAGTAACGTATTGTAAGGTGGGTTCAAAAACTTTCAAACGCTGTTGAACAGTCAAATTTATTGATTTAAAACATCATGTAGGTCTCTATTGATCTCTCCTTGCACGATTTGGTGGTTGTTCCTACTTACTCGTCTACCCGAAGTCGCCTATGCGATTTAAACTGTTTTACGGCTCTCTCTGCGTCTTCTCCTTCTAAACCTGTCGCATATACTTCAATGTACCTCCAAGCCTTTCGGCTAAATCGTTTAACCATAGGTAATGATATGTTGTTGAGTATTTCTGGTACACGAAGTTGTAGCTGAGCATAAGAATAATCACATTGCTGACGAGCGATTCGTTTAGCAGCACCCCAAAAACGCTCGATGAAGTTGCATTCGCAGTGAAATTTTGGATATAATTCAAAAATATGCGCAGCAGCTTCAACGGTCTTTGCAATTGAAGTCTTTTGTTCCAAAAAATCTGGTTCCATCGTAAGTGTATGTCTTGCGCAACAATTCGGAACTATAAAAAAAGAAAATTATATTGATTATTAACTTCATGATGCAAAATTTCTTCTTTTACCCTTTTCGTCATCCTCCTTTCTTTTACAATCCAATCTCTGACCGGTCCACATTTTCCGTTCTTCCAGAATCTAAGATATATAGTAAAGAAAAAGTAATAAAAAAAAAAAATGGAACATGCTCGAATTTAATTGGATATAAGTATATCACATGATTTTTTTGCCAAAAGTGAACGA